CCTAAAAGAACTTTGTCCCCACAGGGTCTCTCGTCTACTTCTTATGTTTCCTATACCCCCAGACTAGTATGATAGAGAAAACCAGAGAAGTGGAGAGCCAGGTCTGTGTCTCAAGTTACTGTGTGAGATCACGGAGGATTGCTTTGAAGCTTGAATAATGCGAATGGATAAAAAAGTATCCTTAAAGGATGGCAGTGGCTTTAAAATTTATTATTATTAAAGCTGTTTCTGACCCCCACCAAAAGATGACCAATTTGCACACTCTGGAAAAAGCATCTTAATAAATATATAGTGTAATGTAGGTAAAAAGTTTTTCAAAATCTCAACATGTTGGGATTTGAACTATGGATTTATATCTTGAAGGTGTGTGACTTGATCAAGCCATATCACCTTTCTTGGCTTCCAGTTTTTGCCATCTGCAAACTGGGAGTAAGCCAATAATGCGGGCCTCCCAGAGTAATTGTAAGGACTCCCCCAGCAAATGTATCAATGATGTAGTATTTGGCATAAGGCATTTAGAAAAATGACACTATTATTAAGTTTTTACCATATGTTTTCTACCTCTGGCTTTACTTGGATAGCTGTAGGCCCCAAGATAGGGAAGGACAGTCTCAGTCAGGCAGGTGAGTCTTAGGGGTGAGAGAAGTACTGGGTTAAAAGGGTAGTGATGTGGGAGCTCTTTGAATATTAACATGAGTTTTTATTGGGATACCATTTTTACAATTGATTGTTAACTTTTGGTCCAGTGCTTCCTTGATCTGGGATCTGTTAAAATAAATGTCAACTAAGGTTGGTGATGACAATCTGGCTGCTGGTTTCAACACATTGATATGAAACTTCAGCCACTGTCCCCCTTCACGTAAAGTGGAAAGATCAAAGTGAAACACCACTAGCAAAATGAAGTATCACGGGAGTTATCTACGAGGCTCACTGTGTCTGTTAAGAAAGAAAACAGGATACAAACCCAAATTCTGTAGCCTCAGGCAGATCTCTCAACTTTTCTTCATCCCTAGGCTCCTCTGTTATGAAGATAAACTAAAATGAACCTGCAGAGCACTTAGGACAATGACTGCCACCAAGTATACAATAGATACAGATACATTTTAATAGATATGGATTCATTTTAATCAATTAAAAATGCTTTTGTTTGTACATGCACGGAATAGCCCCAGGAAGATACCTAAGCTACTAGACACTAACTGCTTCTCTAAATGACAATGGGCTCTGAGAGTTGGAGAGAGAGGGAAGACTTACTATTTAGTTAATGTCCTTTTGCACTGCTCAAAGTTTTACCCCATATAATACATTCCCTTTCCATAAAAAGACAAGAACTATTATGAACAGTGCAAAAAATCCCTTTTCCTAAATTTTCACTCTATTTTTCAATAGCTCCCCTGTCTGCCTTTTAGGAAGACTAAGAGATTCTTCTCCATTCTTATATTTTCCTCCCAGCAGAGGGGCCAGAGGCCTGTGGACTACTTTTGTGTATGACTTCCAATCTAAGAATGGTCTCTATACTTTAAAGGACTTCAGATATAAAAAGAATACGCTACAAATATTTACTATCTGGTACTTTACTGAAAAAGTTTCTCTAGGGAATATGTAGTTTTACAAGCTCTCATTACAACCACTCAGCTGGCTTGGTCAGAATAGGGGACGGGAACGACCAGCCTAGCTGTTAGAGCACTGGTGCTTCCTTTAGTGCCGATATACTTTAATAATGAAAGATCTTCCCTTGAGTAAATACTCCTTGTGTAGGTAAGTGCAGTAGGTCTCCTTATTATGGCTGAAACTTGCTTTCTTCCTTTCTGTCAGGATGGTTATATTTTGAAGGACGGGATGGAGGGTAATACTAATAATGACCACTAGATGGAGAGGTAGCTCTGAGAAATAAGCCCAGAAAGCGCCACCGAGGAGCGTGGCCTAAATCTTGTGATTTCGGCAGTTTCCTGTCCTGGACACACAAGCCTCATTCTCTGTGGCCCTGCCACATGCCTGCTGGTGACTGCTGGAAAAACAATCTTATGTCTCAGTCTGCTTAGCTGCAAAATGTATGAATGTCCCAATGAAAGATGCTGTGAACGTCAAATAAGACAAAGCACTTGGAGATGAAACTTGGACAACTCTGGGATGCAGTAGGAATGCGAGCGAACGCAGTGCCGGGGAGCTACCGCATTAGAGCCATTCCTTGGGCACGACTGCGACGGCTCCATAACTCTCACGGCTTCCTGTAGTATAGCCGAAGGCTGGGGTAGTGGTGAGCGCAGGGGTATTTCCCAGGTGTCTCAGGACATGGGGGGAGGGAGAGGTGGGTCGCGATGAGTAAGAGGTGACAAAATGTAACTCTATCTTTCAAAAAGCTCAAAGCAAGGAGTTTTAATGTTTTCACCACAAAGCAATGATAAATGGTGAGCTATGGGCCCCTAGGATTTGTGAGGCCATGGGTTCCATCACCAGCACGCACTACAACAAACAAAACAAAAGACAAAGGCAACGTTTAAGGAGACTGAGATGCTCACCATAACCTGAACACGACACAGTGTATATCTGTATCCGTGGCACCGCCATGAACTTGTAAAAGTTTTATGTGTCAGTTATGTAAATTTAGTTAAAAATAAAAAAAAAAAAAAGTCTGCAGAACGCATCGTGGAGCCTCCGTTGTCATCATCTGCAGCACAGGAAGAAGACAGGGGCCCGCCCTGGCAGGTGGTGACGATGGCATGAGAGAGGATGGCGCAGGATCGGGGTGAGGCAGCCCATCTGTAAATGCCACATCCTGAGTATCTTGTGGTTCTATGGTCAAAGGCCCTTTTCTCCTTTCCTCTCCTGGCATCTCCTCGTCCTTCGTACCGTCACCATCCTGACCTGTCACTTTTCCATGTCCAGCGCAGCCCTCTCACCCAAGTTCTACATCTCTCCCTTCTCCATCGGGCCGCCAGGCTTCTCCAGTTCAATCGTTTCAAACTGAACTCCTCTCTTTCTCATTCTGAACTTTTTTTCTGCCCCTCTTCCTGGTACGTTGAAAACCTCACCCTGTGCCCACGATTCCTGATACTGTTCCTCCCCTCCCACCTTATAATCTGTCATGCCAGATTCTGTTGACTAAACATCCTTTCAATTGTTTTTTCTTTCTATCTTCCCGGCTGTTGCTTCCCACAAATCATGGCTGCAGTCTCCTCTTACCTCTCTGTTTCCTGCCTTTCACTCACACGGAAGCCATTTTTCCCCCTGAAAGCAGATCTCATTATTTTGCTGTACAAAATCCTGCTGTGACTCCCTACTACCAGTAGGATGAAGTACAAACTTGATGACATGACCTTTGATGCATCTAAAAATTTGGCTGAGGGGCCAGAGATTTAGCTCAGTGCTTCTGCCACCTGCCTTGCAAGTGCAAGGTCCCGAGTTTGATCCCTAGTACCAAAAAAAAAAAAAAAAAAAAAAAAAAAAAAGGCTTCCCTCTCCCTCTGTGGCCTCTTTTCTGCCTTCCTCTGCCCTGTACTTCAAAGCTTAAACATAGTCCGGTTGGTTACTCAACTGAGAAACCAAGCTGTTCATTTAGGATTTCTACAAATAGACAGATTATGTAATAGTAGTTTCTCTAGCTTTGACTTCTGGTTCCTACTAAACTCTTTTTAGTGCATTTAGGCTCCAAGTCCCCCAAGCCCTTTCTTTGCTCCCGAGCAGACTCAGACGTAGAATACACCCCCTATCCTTTATTTCCCCAAGACATTGCTTCCAGAGCACAGTTGGGTCTATAGCTGAAATAACTGAAGGTCTAAGCAAGGAAGTAAAGCAGTTGGTTTTTGCCTTTTTAGTTCTTAGAGACCCTTCCGCCAGCCCCACCCTGGGAACTCTTCCTTGGTTAGTTTCTCCCATGGTATTTTCTTACTCTCCTGTTACTTAATAACTGCCTCCCCTTCTCCCTCTCATCCTTTTCTTGTTCTCATTCTTCCTCTCCATCCTCCTCCTCTATTTGCTTTTCTCCTATCTTTTCTGCTCCCTCTCACTCAGGTTCCTATTTAATAAAGAGATGTGTAGGATTCTGATTTTGTCATCTCCTTAGAGGCTCTGTGTCTCTCATCTTTGTTTAGCCAGAAGTTGTCAGGGTAGCATGTAAGATGTAGGGTACCTACACGGGGAGGTGCGATGTTACACAGTCCTCTGTCTCCCCATCACATCTTGCTGACTAGTGTACATGTAACCTCTATGAGAGCGGGGATCTTGGCGGACTTGTGCATTGCTATACCTTCAGCATCTAGAACTTAGTTGGCGTAAATTGGGCTCCTTATAAATATTCACTGAATGAGTCCATGACTGAAGAAGTGAATGTATGAGTGAGATGTTGCTTACACTGAATAATAATTATGATTCAACTCTTTTTCCTCGCTTCTAGATTTTCATGGAGAGACATTGAAACCCAGCCTACATGGATATTCTGGTAATCCTGATGTAATGCAAAAGGAGTTCACTTGTCCTTTGTCCATGCAGCTCAGCTACCACTGAAATAAATAAATACCTACAGTTCCTAGCTTGTTGAGAATGTAGATGAGCGCTAGAACAAGATGAGCAAAAAGGTTACACGGCAATGAACTCCCACATATTTGGGGATGACAGGAAGATAAGCTTTCTCTTGCAACCAAAGCCACTAGAAGATATATAAGTGTTCTTATGGCTAAGATATTCTTGCACACTATTGCCTTTTTGGAGAACGCCATTTATCTGTCCCATCCATCCATCCATCCACAACTGTTTTTATAATGTTGAGAAATATATCTTAGTTCCAATTGTGTGAAATGGGAATGTCATTGGTACTTACTTAACCAAATTATTGCAAAATTTAGATAATAGGCAAAGCACCCAGGACTGGGGTAGTTGCACAATACAAGCTCAGCAAGTGATAAATATTAGAATCTGAATACCATAGTACCAACTCTTTTCCAGCCAGACATTAAACATTCATCTCAATTTTATTATCCAGAATGTGAGAGAAAGGAGTGGGGTAAAGGAATCTGGAGAAGTCAGTAGAGTCAGTCTGAAGCAAAGACCAGAGACTTGGAGGTTAAGGCCAGGGTGTGGGGTTGAGGAGAGGACCACTTAGCAGTCTGTCTCTAGAATATTTCCAGGATCCAGTCTCCAGTTGATCTTACTGTATCATAACGAGCATCCAGAGAGCAGGCGGGAAGCAAGAACTCAGGTAGGACACAAGAACGTACTGTTGGCTCACCCTCCTCCAATGGGACAGCTGGCTGACCCAGGTCCAGACTATGTCAGGGTACTGTGAGATCTGATGGTCATACTGATTCGGCTTTGTAGCCAGGTGATGTAATCCTCACGAGGCATATGAATGATGTGTTCTCGCACAAACTGTGGGTTAAAAACAGTGGCAATCTCAGAATTTAGCTTGAAAGCTAGCTTCTAGTCTCACCCACCTCCCCGTCAAGATCCTAGAAAATTTGTGATTGATCCTAATGATTCAGGATCAGCTGTCATCAGGCTGAGCTGACTGGTTTGGGAAAAGGGACCAGTTTCCTGGCAATTTAAGCCTCTCCTTTTTGCTCTCTGAGAAGGGTAGGACAATTTAGCTGAATGCATTTCTTTTCTTTTCTACTGCTTAATCTCTTTTTAAAAGTCATTTGTTCATAGATCTCTTTGAGAATTGATAACAGCTCTGGGCTTGCTTTCCAGGCAACAGTTTACGACACACAAAACATTGTTTCCTATAGACTCTAGATTCATAGACCCCCAAGTTCAGCTCATCAGAAGTTCTGTAATGATCTTCCTGGAGAGGAGAGTGCTCAGTTTTTTTACTCAGGGCTGAGAATGCACCTCAGAGAAAGAGAAAGCTTCTATTATCCTTTCCCTGTACTCAGTCAAGGACCATGTTCTTCCTGCATCCTTAAGAGTGACAGGTAGAAGTAGAACCTCACAACTGGCCAGTGCTGGCTGGGGTCTATACTCTTGGCTTAGCCTGCCAGAGTCTTTCCTGAAAGAGCCTCACAGGGCATGGGGTGTAGGTTCTGGACATCCGTGTTTGTCCACAGGGCCACCCCCTACCCCTATTTCTGGCCTCGCTCCTACACTCATAGTCCAAGGTCATCTGCAGAAGGGCCAGTCTGGTACGAAGTGGCCAAGACCCGCAAAGTCTGTCCAGCTGGAGATATCCAGCGCTTGAGTCATTTCCTTTGCAGACTTTTAAAGGGCTGATTAAAATGCCCATATGCCATCTGATAAAGTTAAGGAAGTGCATGAGCACCTGTTAATCCCTGCTGTGGAGCCCCTACTACTGATGATTTTGATGCCCTAAGGGAGTAGAGCTCCAGGAACTTCCGGTAGTGATGGTAATGACTACTGAAAGCCACTCGATGGCTCCTTAGCACCTTTGAGATAGAGACCTCAATCTTTACCCTGACTTTCATAGGTCTGCACAGACTGACCTCCCCATTTTTCCTGGCGCCGAGCATCCCCACAGCCAGCCACACCCAGTGACTGCCTAACAAGCTCCTCCAGCAAGTCAAGTCCTGGCCTGCTTTGGGGTCTTTGCTCGTGTGGGTTCTTCTTCCTGACCTGCTCTCTCCCTTCCTTTGTATGGTTGTATCTCATCATTCTGCTCTCGGTTTAAAAATCACCTTCCAGGTGGGAATGGTGGTGCATGCTTGTCATCCTGGCTCTTTGGGAGGCTGAGACAGATGGATCACAAGTTCAAGTCTCATCTGGGCAATTTGACAACTTAGTGCGACTCTGTCTTTAAATAAAGAATCGAAGAGGCTGGGGATGTAGCTCAGTGCAAAGGCCCTGGGTTCAATTCCCAGCACTGCAAAAACAAGCAAAAATTAAAATAACAAACATCAAAAAACCCCACAGAAAACCCACTTCCCCAGTTGCCCTAGCAACAAGGTCTCTGTTAATTTACTTCAAACCAGAGCATCTCGAATTTTATTGTGTATGCAACACACCTGGGATCCCATTAAAATGCCAATTCTGAACTGGCAGATACAGTCTGGTGCCTGAGATTGTGCCTTCTACACAAGCACTCAGGTGAGGTCCATGCTGTGGGCCCATGGACTGTACCTTCAGAGCTGCATTTGGAGCACTCCTTATGATGATCTATTTCTTCATGTTTCCCAAAGCCTCTTAGCATCCAAAGGGCTCCATTTGCATGGAATCTAATGTTCCTTGGGGTTGGAGTTGAACAACCACAGTTATGTATTGATTCTTTTATTAAATGAGGAGCACCGTGATGCAGGGACTGTAGTGTGTCTTTTGCTTGTGATGCCTCCATTCTCAAAACAATGCCCGGATGTTAAGAAATGATTGAATAAGAGCGCTTGAGGCATGGGGAGAGGGAGGAGGTGGTGATTACCTCAATAGCTACAGCAACATCTGGGGAGCACAGTTCCCAGACCCTCAGATCCTGCAGCACCTTCAGGAGAACATGGGGCTGGACCCTCAGGTCGAGGTTCTCCCCAAACTTCTGGAGTTTGACTAGGATCTTTTTGGCAGGGTTGTAGTTCTTCAGATCCTCAGGGAGTTTGGACAACAGATCAAAGTACCTTCAGTGGGAGAGCAGAGGGTGAGTTAGGGAGTTGTAGGAGGGAGGTGCCTCCCCCTTTGTTTCTGCTGCTCAGGGGATGTTGCAGGGCAGCTGAAGCTTCTACCTGGGACCTTTCCTCCACCTTACATTGTTAAGAGGCCTACGGATCAGGCAAATCTTTATTTTTTTAGGAGTTGGAAAAGCTGGAACAGGACTTATATTTTATTAGAAAATAAAATGAAGGGTATCCGTTGAAGGGGTGAATTTACAGGTTTTATATCAAGCAGACAGTGTGAAAAGGGAGAGAAGGAGGGATTCTGAAGCTTCCCTTCTGAGAGTTCATCAGGCCAGGGTGGGCATGGACACATCCGGGGAGGCCTACCAGGATGCCAGAGGGGCCCCTACCTTCAAGATGACAAAGGTAACAAAAGTGTGTGTGTGTGTGTGTGTGTGTGTGTGCGTGTACGTGTGCGTGCGTGCGTGCGTGCGTGTGTGTGTCTGTATTTTCCATCTCTCTCATAATGAATAAGCTTGGTCTGGGGCTTGTGTGTTTCAGTCTTATGAAAGAATACAATGATGTATACGTATATATAGTCACGTCTCCTTGTATAGAATTGAATCCCCATGACAACAGGAACTTTGCCTGAGTTATTCATCCTTGAGTGCTAGAACTGTGCCTAATTTGTAGTAGGTGCTCCGTAATCATAATTTGAAAGGATGAATGAGGAGCTACAACTCAGCATCCTTGTTACTAGGCTGTGGTTCATTTGATTTCATTTTAATGTTACTATGGAGGGCATTTGCATCCCTCAGAATGATGCCAGAGATTGTATCACTAGGAATGTGGGGTGAATCCAACTGTGGGAGGATCAGCATTAATTTCCCACTGTAACACCTTTGTGCAAGTTACTTTATAACTCTCATTTTCCCTTCTCTGCTTCCCTCCGGAAGAAGAGAGAGCACTTGGGAAGACTGAGGCAGGAAGGCTGCAAGTTTGAGCCCAGCCTTGGCAACCCGGTGACTTAGTGAGGTCCTGCCTGTGTCATAACTAAGAAGAGAAAATGGACTGGGCACATAGTTCAGTGCAAAGGGTTTGATCTCCGGCACTGTAAAAAGAAAGAGGGGAGAAGACTTGCCAAAGACTCACCCTCTTCTGCCTTCAGGAGGGTCCCTCTGGAGAGCCTCCTGTAAGCCAGCGTAGGGGAGAGTAATGCACTGGGAGCGTGAAGTCCTGGAAGGTCCCACCACTTTGCCAGGGACCTGGCTGAGGCACATCATTAACGTCGGGGAAGGGATTCTGGGTGTGTCTTTAACTTTTCTCATCTTGTTCTTAGATCTTGCTTCAGTCACCCTGCTGGCACAGGGTCTGTGATGTCACGGTTCACCCGACTCCAGTTGTTCACTGCCAGTGAGCACAGTGACTGGGGCGGGGCAGGACCTTCCATCCTGAACTCACCATGTACCAGGATGGTGATGTTGGATACATGAATTAACTTCTTCGGGTCTCAGTTTCCTTATCTGTGAATTGGGGTTAATATGTGCTTCTCAGGATTTAGGGGGAGGAATAAGATGTTTTATGAAATTTATTTAGGGTGGCAGTGCGAACTATCTAGCAGTCACTCAATTTATTGTTTCCAAATCGCTGAGTTGGCCTGCGTTGTCTTTTCTTTTTCCCCTGCAGTGCTCAGGATCAAACTCCAGCCTTTGTGCTTACCAGACAAGTTCTCCATCACTGAGCTTCACCCCTTGCCCGATGTCTATTTTGTTTCTTAAAAGTTTTATTTACTTTTAGTTGACAGATAGCAACTGCGCATATTTAAGGGATAAAGTGTGACATTTCAGTACATGAATAGGGTGTGTACTCATCCAACCAGGATATTTAGCATGTCATTCAAACCTTTATCATTTCTTTGTGGTGATCATTCAGAATCTTCTCATTATTTTGCAACACACAATAACAGTATTGTTAACTTTGGTTACCTACTGTACAGGGGGACACCAAAAATTTTGCTGCTTTTTGTTATTTGTCTTCACCCCTCGGTGTTCCTTGGGTGTGTCTGATTGGTGGTATGTCCTCGAGGAATTAGACTGTTTTGGAAATGTAGTGATCACTTTATAGACCTCAGAATCTGCAGAAGGTTTCAGGTTGAGGCGCTTTGTCTGCTCCTCCCCTGGGGCCAGCAAGTTGGTTGTCCTTATTTATATAGCAGAATCAAACATAAGGTAAATATAGAGAGTGCAACAAGTTAGGTTATCGATGGTTCAGAAACCAATGAGTTTCTGCATTCAACTTAGGGGTCAGAACTATGTGTATGATCAATGCTATGTATGCAGGCCAGATTATTTTTCAGTTTTGAGCTATCCAAACTGATTCCTCTATCAGAACTGCTGTTAGTTACTTATTTCTCTGACTTCTGTTTTGTGGGGGTTTAAAACAGTAACAGTAACACTAATAATACTGTAGAACTATTTCATGACGGTGACTTTATGTTTAAATGAGGTGATGTGTGCAAATGTTTAACATAACACATAGTGTAAAGTGTTCAATAAAAGCTGTTTATTAGAATGTAAGCTTCACGAGGGTAGGAATGAAGTCTGCCTTGTGCAAGTGTTCATTAAATATTTGTTGAATGTTGAATAAAGAAATGCAAGAGATAAATTTAAAAAAAGAAAGAAACCGGTGAGTTCTTGTCTGATTTAGCTCTGGATTTAGCCTAACTGGTGCACCCTGTTGGGGGCCATGGAGAGTTTCTGGTGATGTTTTTCTACACTTTGAAGGCCAGTGGAATGAACTGTGATGTTGTAATGACTCCCTGTCCCTTTGTCAGGGACTGTCTTAGCTGGTTCTCAGGATCCTTACCAGTGGTCAGCAGTTTCTTCCGCGTCTCTTTTCACTACAGAGATTTGTTGTCTCATCTTTGCTATATCGTTCTGAAAATTTGAGACGAGGCCAAAAGCACGGAACTTCTGGAGGCCTCTCTCTTCTTGGCGCCTTCAAAGTTGTAGGAGAAAGAGGAAGAGGAATCAGTTCCCTGCTTTCACCTCCCTGGCTGCCATTTGAGATCTGACTTAAATATCTTTTCCTCAGTGAGGCCCTTCTTAACCCTCCCAGCTACTCTTTAATTTGTGCTCTTGCTTTCAGTGGAAGGTGTTGTAACTCTCCATGGATCTGAAACACTTTTCTTGCTAAACTAGCCTCTTTTTATTACCTCGCCCTTTCTTCTTACTTCTCATTGTGTTGACACAGTTTTCTCGCCTATAAAATGAAAGGTAATACTTCCCACATTTCAGAGGTAAAGATTAGTTACGTTACGTGTGCAGGGTACCGAGCTCACTGCCAGGCACAGAGTAGGTGTTTAATTCATGTTGGTTCCTCTCTTCCCTACTCCCCTTATCATTTTGTGCATACATCCTCTCTCCCAGGAGAATTTATATTATAAATATAACCATGCCAACCCCCCTCGACATGCTGTTCAGAGGCTTTCCATTTTATTCATAATACATAACTTTGAATAACCTGTCCTCCAAGGCACCAGGCTATTCAGTCCCTCCAACATTTTTCAGCTTCATGACTGTGTCCAGAACTTTATGCCTTGGCTCATGATCAAAGTTTCTGAGATGAAGTTCAACCTCCGCTACTGGGCTAGGAAAGCTTTTTCTGACCTGGCCTCTGTCTTGCTCTCTGGTCACCTTGCAAGGCTCCTGAGCCCCAGCCATTGCTGACTCCTGGCAGTTCCCTGGCTCGCTGTGCCCTTTCTGCCCTCGGGGACTTCACTGCTGCTTCTCCTTGGAACGCCTTCTCACCTTAAATTTTCCACTGTGACTCTGGCTTTGAATTCTATCTTTGCTCCCCAGCCACTTGGGGCACCTTTGACAAATATCTCTGAGCCTACTTTTATTCTCTATAACATGGGTCTAATTCTAGCCCTCACCCCATCTTGTGTGAGGCACCCATGGTACATAAACACAAAGCTTTCACTATACTCTGTGGAGTACACTGATTAATACGGTGTCCCAGAAATACCTTCTATTTTTTTTGTTGTTGCCCTAAAAATGTGATTTCTTCCAGGAAGACTTCTAATGGCTGTCCCAGGTCAGGAAGTGTATCTTTTCTCTGTGTTTCCTTAGCCCTCTGCTTGTCATCCTGCTGACCCTTACCACCTTGTGGAGAAATTGCCTGTCGGCTTGTCTGTCTCCCACACCTGATGGGGAGCTCCCAAAAGGAAGGGTTGGGGTGAGCCTTCTCCCACCCTTGTCCCCAGAGAGCCATCTGATCACCGTAGTCCACAGGGTCACCGTACGGCCCGCACTGAGTGGATGACTTCCCTGGGGACAGGTGGGCGCCGGCGTCAAGGCACAGGCTGGGAAGAGGGGCAGCTGTTAGAATTTCTGGGAGAGGGAAAGGGCCCCATGGCCTGCTGGTGCTCTTAGAATCAAGTCCCAATGATCACAGCCCTCACTGCTGTTTCTCCCTCCTGCCCCACATCCCCTCCTGCCCTGGGACTTTGTAATGCCCTTTTCCAGCCTCTAGACCAGCATTGCATGTTCTTGTCCTCAGAGGTCGTCAGAAAATCACCTCTGAGAGAGAACTTTGCAGGTCAGCAAATTTCTCCCCCTCCTCCCCCTCCTCCTCTTCTTCCTGCTGCTCTCCCTCCTTGTTGTTGTTTCCCTCCTCCTCTTCTTCCTCCCCTTCTTCCTCTCCTCCTCCTCTTCTTCCTCCTCCCCTTCTTCCTCTCCTCCTCCTCTTCTTCCTCCCCTTCTTCCTCTCCTCCTCCTCTTCTTCCTCCCC